GTATGTTATTTTATCTGGTCCGAACTACAAGCAGTATACCCAACTACTAGCTAATATTCAAATATTATGTATGCTGGTGTATTTGGTCCGAACTACAAGCTGAATACTCAACTACTAGCTAGTAATTCAAATAGTGTGTATGCTGGTATATTTGGTCCGAACTACAAGATGAATACCCAACTACTAGCTTGTAATTCAAATATATTGTATGCTTGTGTATCTGGTCCGAACTACAAGATGAATACCCAACTACTAGCTAGTAATTCAAATATTGTGTATGCTGGTGTATATGGTCCGAACTACAAGCTGAATACCCAACTACTAGCTAATAATTCAAATAGTGTGGATGCTGGTATACTTAGTCCGAACTACAAGCTGAATACCCAACTACATGTACTAGCTTGTAATTCAAATATTATGTATGCTGGTGTGTTTGGTCTGACATACAAGCTGAATACCTAACTACTAGCTTGTAATTCAAATATTATGTATTCTGGTGTGTTTGGTCTGACATACAAGCTGAATACCTAACTACTAGCTTGTAATTCAAATATTATGTATGCTGGTGTGTTTGGTCTGACATACAAGCTGAATACCTAACTACTAGCTAGTAATTCAAATATTGTGTATGCTGGTGTATTTGGTCCGAACTACAAGCTGAATACCCAACTACTAGCTAATAATTCAAATAGTGTGGATGCTGGTATAGTTAGTCCGAACTACTAGCTGAATACCCAACTACTAGCTTGTAGTTCGGACCAAATACACAAGCATACATAAAATCGAATTACAAGCTAGTAGTTGGGTATTCAGCTTGTAGTTCGGACAAAAACATCAGCATACATAAAAATTGAATTACAAGCTAGTAGTTGGGTATTGAACTTGTAGTTCGGACCAAACACACCAGCATACACAATATTTGAATAACAAGCTAGTAGTTTAATATTCAGCTTGTAGTTCGGAACAGATACATCAGCATACACTATATTTGAATTACAAGCTAGAAGTTGGGTATTCAGCTTGTAGTTTGGACCAAATACATCAGCATACATTATATTTGAATTACAAGCTAGTAGTAAGGTATTCAGCTTGTATGTTAGACCAAACACACCAGCATACATACTATTTGAATTACAAGCTAGTAGTTTGGTATTCAGCTTGTAGTTCGGACCAAATACACCAGCATACGTAATATTTGAATAACTAGCTAGTAGTTTGGTATTCAGCTTGTAGTTCGGACCAAATACACCAGCATACATAATATTTGAACGACAAGCTAGTAGTTTGGTATTCAGCTTGTAGTTCGGACCAAATACACCAGCATACGTAATATATTAATTACTAACTAGTAGTTGGGTATTCAGCTTGTAGTTCGGACCAAATACAATAACATACGTTATATTTGAATTACAAGCTAGTAGTTGGGTAATTAGCTTGTAGTTCGGACCAAACATACCAGCATACACAGTATTTGAATTACTAGCTAGTAGTTGGGTATTCAGCTTGTAGTTCGGACCAAATACACCAGCATACATAATATTTGAATAACAAGCTAGTAGTTTGGTATTTAGCTTGTAGTTCGGACCAAACACACCAGCATACATAAAACAAACAAAAGAAATAATAAGAAAAAAACGTAATTTTATCAAGTTTTCAACAATAAAAAATTACGTCGTATTGTGTTTACATCAGTGCCGCATTTATCATTCTTGTATGTATGAAATAACGTCAGCTTGTTTATGAATGAGTTGTTTATTTAGGATGACGTCTTTGCGCTGCTTACGGATTGGCGCCGTTTTGTCAAAATATTTATTAACTGATATGGATCTAATATGTGGTGGCGTTAGTGTATGTGAGATATTATTTCGGTATTGTATGAAAAGAAAACATTATACGAACTGAAAATATAAATAAAAATGCTTTTTATTGTTGCTTTAAAATGCTTTGTAAACTATACAATCGAGGGTGAAAATATAACAGCGAATATACAAGTAGTCCCTAACTGGTGTTTATTGGCAGTGTAACACCAGTTTTTTTTCCTTCTTTGTATATAGTGACAAAATCACGTGAGTGTTAGAATTGTTGTTAAATTTGCTGTTGTCAACGGAATGTAACGATTCATGCAAAACTGTATAACTATACAATTTTCAATGGAAATTATCCTTCATATGCTACTTCTAACTCCGTACAATATCAGAATTATCAGTTTGATAATATACTAGATCTAATGTTGTACCTTATTGTACTTCTATTATAATACAAACTTTTGTAATAATTAAAAACTGGAATTCTCTTCCTGATACCATGAAATTAATAACTTAATTCTAGCAACATTTGATAGCATAATTTGTAATAACAAATAGTAATATTGTTTGAAAAAGAAAATAATAATTCGACAATTTGTTGAAAACAAAATATTTAAACACTCGTCTCGATAAATCAACACGGCAAACTTCGGAACCAATCCTGTAAATTGAGATTGTTTTTTTTGACAAATATATGCATTTTATTTGGATTTTAAAGGCGTTTTGAGCTCCAAACCCCAAGTATCTGTGACTATCATTTGGTTTTTTACCATCTGATTCATTTTTATAAAAATATCTAAAAAGGTCTATTTTATGTATGTGATGTATATATATCATGTCTAATCATTTTTTTATTGTAGCTGTTTTATCTTTGTTGATCTTCTACTTTATGTTATATACAGTCGGTTATAAAAGCTCCTAGAGCTTATGTTGTACTGTTGAAAACTTGCCGACTTGAAACAAAACTTATCTTATCTTATCAATGTGTACAAAGAGGTATAAGATAAGTGTCCACTCGGCCCTAAACCAACTCGGTCCGCAACAAAAAAGAAATCACTTTAGATTGTTTAGTTGATGAACATCCAGCGGTAGATCACATATACTAAAAAAAATTGAAAAGATCTATATGTTTTTATTATCTTTGTTAAGATGAGATGTTGTGATTAATACAACAGGGTCAGGGACCATCAACCGCGGACACTTTTTGAACATTTTTCTGTACAGGTTTCATAAGTTTTAACCTAGAGACCAAAAAAATTGACAAGGTTAAGCTAGGTTCTTCCCCTAACTAACAAACTTGTTTGTCTGATTGTATTGACACTTATATCTGAGGCTCGACAAGGAGGTATCAAAATTACCTCAATTGTCTACACTACAGCACCATGTGTCCGGACATTTATGTACATGACGTTATTTAATTCAGATAATAGACAATGATTCAGAAACAAATGCTGAAGTTTTGGAAATTCTATTGTTTACTCTGCAAATGATTATAGATGGTATATGAGGTCAGGCATTGTTTTCTTGACCCCCCAAATTTCAACGTCAACATTCTTGAAATAGCCATTAAATTTTAAAATTATATTACCATTTACGGTGGTTGAAATAAATTTATTTATTTATTTTTAGAAGAAACATGCATTTATTGTAGAGCTGTCATCGATATCGACAATATCGATGTATCGTTGATAATTTTTTGTCGATCAATAATCGATACACATTTTAAAAAATCGATACTTTTGACTAATAAATTAAATGTCTAGAAATTATACAATTGAATTCACCCAAAATATATGCAGAAACAATTATTTATATCAAATGTGATGCTTTTGTTATATAGTGGAATTATTTCATAGCAATGGTGACAAAAAATATTTTCTAGAAAAATTCATGCGGTGGACAAGACACTGTACAGAACATGTTTTTGACTGAAATCACTGAAAAGGGTATGAAAATGAATGACAGACAAGTGAGTATAGGATATTATCGATGTATCGGCGTATCGTTGATTTTAGTTACTTGATATCGATATATTGTTGATATGCTTTGCATTGAATCAATGACAGCTCTAATTTATTGTTGATAAAAAAGTGACAACCACTGAACAAAGAAAATACTAAATTAAGCATTTTCAGGGCCGTCTGGGTTTGGTGGTTGTCCGGTTTTGGTGGTCCCCAACCAGTAGCTTAAACATTTATGAACTGTAAATTCTTCCCTCACACACTTTAATCAATAACAATTTCAATTAGAAAAGGTATATAAATTATGACATGAAAACGTAAAACAATGAAAAGTATGTCAACACATGAAACAAAGATAATTCAACATAGAGCAACAAAACTAGTTCCACTGAGGAATGCTGTACTGCCGGTAAGGCCCCCACGTTTACACTTTTAAACGGATTCGTTTCGATTTTCATTCATAAACGGTTATGATATTTTTTACCGTTTATTCGAGATGACCATATTGTCTTACAAATAATCTTAATAATTTCCTGTAATCTTGGATTTTATCTATACTTATTGGTTTATCAAAGTAAAAATTTTACAGCCGAATTAAGGCTGTTTCCCCTAACTCAAAACAGGTATATTTTCCCCTAAAAAAGGTAATATTTTCCCCTGAAATGCCCTGTGGTAACAGCATCTGACTTATTATAGCAGCTAGAAGACAGAAAGCTGTCCCTATAGCCTCTGCTATGTACCATGCATGTTAAATTGAATTGAAATTGAAAATTTATAAAATGTGTGGGTAAATTCCATTCTCAGTTGTTGGAATTTGATTTTCCCCTTTTCTGATTTATCGCGCTTTATTTTCCCCTTCAGAAAGCCACAGGTTGTTTTGAAAATTGGGAAAAAAATCACTGTCACCGTGCAATAATCGCTTGTGACATAATTCATTTTTGTTAAAGTTGATTTTTCTTTGATCTTTTAAATACAATGCAGAAAATGTGTGCCGCCTAAATCGTGATGAGCACTGAACATTATTTACTTGTATAGAAAGTAAGTCATCATTTGGCGACTCGAATACATGGTATATTATAGTGCATAGAAGTACCACCGTTTAAACAGTATCGATTCGGTTCTTAGCAATCATGTAAAAAATTGTAAACGTGGGAGCCTTTACCGCCGGATATTGCTCGATATTACGAGGACTTTCATCCCATTTCAAGACTATGAACAAAGGTAAATTCAAGGTAAATGTTCAATCTGACAACAATAAAATTTCAGATGACAGTGCATTTTGAGAATAAATAAACATGTCAGTTTACCGAGTATTGCTTTGGAGTTGCTCGCCGGTGTCACTAGTATGCTTTTTAATGTAACGAGTATTGGTTATTAATATCAAGTAAATGTGAGAAGTAATCACAGAGTATTTACCACATTTAACCTTAAATATTTCTTATTGTCACAATGTGTATACTTATTGACATATGTGCAGAATATGCAGATTTTGGAGGTACTGTACTGAATAATACATACCCAGCAAACATGCATATATGGGACCCATATGGGCTATATCTAGGCAAGCTAATGGGTATGCCCATATTGGACCTATATGGATCCAATATTGGCAAGTCCATTTGGGTACGCCTATATATTAGACCCATATGGGTACCATATTCCAGCACTTTAAGGAAAAACGATTTTTCTTTTATTTATTTCTTTAGAACTCGTTTACTTTGAGCTATAGTGTGACCACCTTGGCATAAATTGCTATTATCTTATATAAAATCGTAGCATTATTTTAAACATTTATACAAGCCATGAGGGACCCATATGGGTCCCATTTGGGCAACCCGATAAATATTAGCATGCCTGAGCAGGTGCGAGAAATTAATTTGTTAAGTTTTTATATTGGTTTTAATTTTTATTATTTAAATATAAAAATGTGTTTTTAGACTATAAATTCAGAAATAATTTATAAAAATCAGCATTTGATGAAAAAATTTATTTCGAGCATGTGCAGACGTGATTTCCGCTGCCGCTTAAAATCAAATTGTGTATTGAAACGTTAAATTGTAAAATTGTACACGAAAAAAATATTTCTTTTCGATTCCGAGCATTTAACCACGATTTCGTATAACGACCTTTCATATTATATCCTAACATGTTTATTGTGTGTGTAGGTAAGCTGTAAACGCTGTTTAGTTTTTGGTTTTGCCTTTGCCATGTAATTTCCCAATAGTCGTTTAATTTGCGACATTTTCTAGAATTTACGCCCTGACTCTTAGGCACTTTAGCTGACCTATGCATGTGTATAGTTGTTATTGTTGAATTACTTAACTGTGACGGAGTCGACACTAACATTTTAAAAATATTGTTTCTATCTAGACTAAATTTTAAGAGATCTTTTTTTAAAGGGACACCATCATTTGAAATCCAGTGTCCCCCCTAGCCTTAGAAGTCCCTTCCATTTTGTACCAACATTTCATTCATAAGCATTTTAAAATATTAAATACAAATACTTATTTTTACAAATTCAAGTATTTTTTCCAAGTACCAACCAAGCCCTCTAGCTGTTGCACAGGCATGAGTATCGGACCTGAGAAGAAAAAATATGACCTGATAGATAATTAAACCTGTGTTCATCTTAAAAAATTCAAAAACCAAAAAAAATGTAAATTATGACCCCCTTTAAAAACATACTATAAGTTAAGAGAAGGCCGGAAACTCTAGATTCGAGCCTACGAGCAAGGGATTCACTACCCGGGCCGTTGTGAAAACAATTGTCCAGACAATTAAAAAATCTTTTATCATTATTTCACATTTGTATTAAGCTTCCAAATGAGACCAACTCCAAGTCTCTAGCCCTTCCTGTTCATGAAATAATCCTATCAGGAAACGAGCGCATTCGTGCTAAAAATCCTTGGTAGAAAAAATTGCGGCACAACAATTCGGTACGTAAACATAGACTAATACATGTTTGTCAGCCGTGTACAGGTCATAATCATATTGTCACTTGGTGCAATAACTCACTTAATGTATATGTATTTTTTAACTACTTATTAATGTATTTTCATTTTATTGTCAATAGGCCATCAAAAAGGCTGTATGAATCGGATAGTGACACTGATGAGAATGAGACAGACACCGAGAGTAGGCCATCACAAGTTATTGACAAAGCAACAACGCCCAAACAGGCACGAAGCCTACTTTCACCTCCGCCTTGCTTATCTGCACAGGCATTGCGAGAGGCCAGCAGTGATGTGCAAAGTGCTTCTCTAATACAAGGTGCTTCTGATACGCCCTCCCGTGGGCAGATTATTGGGCCCAGTAAGTATAAACTTCGGAGCTGTAAATATATTCATTACAGTACATACTTATTAAATGTTCTATCCTCAAAACAAGCCAATAAATGTTGTAACAAGCTGGATTGAGTGACACAGCCAAAAATGGAAAGTTTCACCTTATGACGCCCCTAGTTAAAAAAAAATTCAAAAGAAATTGATGATTACTTGTGTTAGTCTTTATCATGATGTGAATTAATGTTCGCCTATTCTTGTCTGACCCCACAACTGTTATCCAAAGTTACTGTCCTTGGAATAGTCAAAAATGTTTATTTTCACCCCATGACATGCCTAGCTCAAAAATATTTTAAGTTTAATTCATGATTTCTTATCATTTTCACATTTTGTGACCTTGCACACTCAACAATCCTTTTGAGATTTTAGCGTTAATTACTGTTAAAGCCAAGGAAAAATTTAAAATACTGGATTTTTTTCATTTGTAATTCACATAGCTCTAAAAGTATAAAGCCTAGAATTATGAATCCTTTTTTGAAGCTGCTGTTACACAGATTCTCTGAGTCTTGGAGACAATGCGGGAGGAGAATCGTGAAATTAAGAGGATGATGTAGCAATTGTTGTCAAGGTCAGCAGCAGATGACCAACCGCTGCAGCTTCCTGAAGATATCTCATTCCCTATTCGTTCTCCTTAGCAGATGGAAACATTCGATGAGCTTCTGGGAGATCAGACAAAGCTGTCATCTGTGGTAAGCATAGTGTTAGTCATGTAATAATTGCACCATTAGTAACTGAAAAAAGTATACCTCATATCCACTGGCTTAAATGCAAAAATAACATAATGGTCTGTGGTTAGCACTTGATGATAATGTATTATCATTCTGCTATACTTATGTAGGAAAATATTGCACAGTGGACAAACACTTTACTGCATTACTTTCAGAATTAAAAACTGGCTTGTTTTAATTTTTTGATTCATATTGAAACAGTTATCTTATTATTTAGATATGCTATAATAGCCATGAGCACAAGACATGGGCAGTTGGCCTCGTTTTCAACATTGATTATTAAGACAAGACAGTCGATTCATTAATCAAAATGCTGGCAGCTTTCAAAATACCAGGAAAATGACTAGTACCCACAAAATCCAGGAATTGCGCTGTTATTATAATATCAAAAATTATTCTGTTCATACTGTATAAACTCGTGTTTAAAAAACAACAATGATAATGTGCCCCATTACACTCGGTGGAGGGGACAAACAAAAAGGCACAAGTCACTTAGGCTGTAAATATATGAGGAAAGGTCTTTTAATTTGTCAATTCAAACAGTTTTCTTGGCAGATCATGTATTTGAGGTCCAGTTGACAATTATTTGTCATTTGGTGACTTGCAGCGCATCACAAATTTTGAAAATTAGTAGTGTTAAAATTAACATTAAAAAAAGTTTATGTTCTGCTTTATTTAAGGTGCGGTTCCTCTCAATGTTTGGTGGGGCAGTTGTGCGGGAAACTGTTGACCGCTAGATGATAGAAACCATGTCAAATGAACTGGCAGGAATGTTCAATATGAAGGGGCTGAAAGGGAAGAAAACATTTTGGGGCCTCTATATACTGAATGTATTGTATAGTAAGTGATATATTACGAATTTGCAAAGTGGTGTCTTTATGTAAGGCTTCAAAATAGATATATTATCCAAGATCTTGTTATTGTGTCTTCAGGTATCGCTTTAATGAAAGAAAATGCTTGATTAGCTTTTATGGAAATTAATAAGAGAGAATATTTTACATGCTGTGTGGTTTTGATCCCATGCATTGTGTTGTGATGCATAATATAAGCAGAAATCACCTTCCTGTAAAGCAAGTTATTTGCTTACCTTAACATTCTTTACTGATACACCGATAAGATGATCTCAGCTTACAACTGACTGCAGCGATATCACAGAAATATTGTTAAAAGCTATGTAAAACCGGGACACAAACATCTATATTTGTTAAAACATACTAGAATTAGTTTATATTCCAATTTTATGCTCAAAATGCTACAAGGTGACTTATGACCTTTGAATGGTTTCAATACCTACATTTCACTGCATTTCATTTCTTTCTTTAAGGATAAGGATGCTTGTTTTATAGAATGTGTCCAAAGGAACTTGCCGACAAAGACTGCGACGAAGAATGATGTTGAAATAAAGGTTTCAAAATGGCTGGCTGGGGCTTAGGACCGCGATGGGGGAAGGAAAGCAAGAAACAAAGTGTCCGAGACCTTACCTGAAGCAAAAGAAGGAAGTGACTTGACATGTTTTTATTTTTAAAAAATGCAAATCTATAGAGGATATTTGTTTGTTAGTGTGTAAGATGAAATTTTATATCATCAAGTGAGCTTTAAAAACATTATTCTCACAAGTGAGAACACTGTTATTTAAAAGTCCCTCAATGATATAAAATTACATCTTACATAACAAACAATAAAGTGTCTTTTTATTTTATGCTAATGAAATTTCCTCAATATTAACTTTAATAACTATTAAATCTGTTTTCCCCACTGTTAACATCAATTTTAGTTGAATTTAAGTCCAATTATTCATAAATACAGGAGTCTTGGGCTGAACAAAAAGTTTGACAATCAACGTTGAATAGCAATGATTTTATTTATTTTATTAAAAAAATATGAATAATCGCTTGTTTTAATAATAAAAACAACCAATTCTAGAAGAAAAAGTCACACCATCCCACCTTATTTCTGTTACTCAGGCAATTTATGTATGACCTGGCTTTGTGAAATGTAAGTGGCGGCCATTTTTAAAAGTTGTGTATTTTAAGGAAAATTAATTTTGTTTTATTCAGAGGAATATTATTTGGATAGGTTAGTCTTGAAACAGTCCTGAGAATGTCAGAATTGTCAGCAAAAATGATATTAAGGTACCACATGGGGAAAATCTTTAAAAAGTAGTCTCGTCATTGAAAAGTTTGAAATTTGGATCATTTTCACTGTGAAATTATCAAATATAATTTTCACGGATACATCAGTAATACACACAAAAGCATAAAATGAATGACTTTTATTTTACATTTTCGAACCTTTTCTTCATCGGCATATAAGTTATTCCAATGATTGAAAGTCAATAGATATCAAAGTATTTTAAAATGTGATAAGGGTCAGAACTACAGTAAGTGGCTCATTTGTGTATCTTGTTATACTTTTTGTTGCTAATTTTAATGTTTGAGGTCATCAGCATAGCATGTCTTTCTTGTAAATGCAAAATTCTTTGCCTTCTAGTCAGTTTATTTTGCTGCTATGTAATGTTTGTTGTTGACATTATATGCTGTTTTTCTGTTGTCTATATGCTGTTGTTATTTTTTTTCATTAAACATTGTTGCTATTTAAATCAAGACATTAAATGCTTGGGGAATGTTTTTGATACTGATCAATACAATTATAACATCTTGTCCAAACTTAACACTAACAGGGAACACATATATAGATATGGTATTAACCTTTTAAATCAAGTTGAAATACTTTACAATGATGCTTCTTGTAATCTTTATTTTTGTTATTGTTGAAACTTTGATAATATCGGATAAATTACTGAAACAACTATTTTTACTGACAATTTTTTAAATGAACTTCTTCACAACAAATTTGATCTCGTTAAATCAGTATTATTTCACATTTTTTAAAGGAATATATCCATAATTAATTACTGTTCTGTGATATATAGGATAATTGTTAATTTCGGTGTAATATCACATTTTAATTATAATTAATTTCACAGAGTGGATACCTAAAGTGTTGTTCACAAAGTGGCGCAGCCATGAGTGAAAATAACAACTTTTGGTATTCAGAAGTGAACTTATCATGATATTTACATTGATACAGTATACATGTATGTGTTTACTTTATGTCTAAAACTCCACTAATGTTTGGTTCCTTTCAATAAAATGTTGAAATATGCGAGAAACTTTTTATCAGGAAGCATCGCAAAGATGAAGTCATTTTAATGACGTTGTTGTCATATTTTTTTCCGGCTTTCAGTATACTTGGTTAACTTTTTTGATATTTATATAGTTATCAAATTCGATAATTTTTTTCACAAAGTGGCTAGTGAGTCAGGATATAATTCAACGTTAACTTCCATAAACCATTGAAAATTGATAAAAGATTAATGAAATTCTTATTGAGAATGATATTAGCACATAGAAAACTGATCCAAACAGTAACGTTTCACAAAAGGTTACTATAACTATTGATATTAACAATTGAAATGCATTAAATTGTAAATACTATTGTTATTTCTTGCCTTTATTGTGGTTTTTGTTGATGAAGATATGTGAAATGAAGCTGGTTATTTTTACAAACTGGTACAAACTATTTGTTACTTTTCATCAGCTGCATATTTTTTTACACGTCTATAAACAGTATTTCTATGTGCCAAGGTTTTGTTATTATATTTGTTACTTTTCATCAGCTGTATATTTTGTTTACACATCTATGAACAGTATTACAACTGTGCCAAGGTTTTGTTTTATTATATTTGTTACATTTCACAAGCTGTATAATATTTTTTTCTTCAGCACTATCATACCAAAGTGTAATATATGGTTGTAATGAACAACTTTTTATATTTATTCATGTAGATCTATTTCATTTGTCCAATACAAAGATATCTGAAAATTTAAATATCATATAAAACATAGATACTATTTCATTTGAAAATGAAAGTAATTGGTAGATAGAAATTTGTAATGAATTACAATAAATGTATAATACTTTCCTATGAATTATGTAGAAATTTAAAAAGACATGGGAGTAGGTTTGCAGTTGTGTCTTTGAGAATCTGTATATATATGATACACTCTTACCATAATTGAGATTACTAAATAAAGTTAACATTGTTAAAGCATATACATTGTGTGTTGTTTTCTTGCAAGATAATAAAGGCTTTGTGCCATAATCTGTCTGTTCCAGTTAAAACATCACTTGAATATTTAATGCAAGTACAAGAATTATGCCAGTTGCAACTTAACGTCCAGCAAACTTTTAATTGAAGTACTTGAAAATAGATCTATCCCGGAATTCAAAATCTACCCATAATGGAAGTATCTGGGCTGCCCATTTGAAACCCATATTTAGTACAAGGGCTGCCCATATGGGGCCCATATTGAGTACATGGGCCGCCCAGGTGGGGCCATGTGATCCCATATGGAGTATAAGGGCTGCCCAAGTCTCAAATTTTGATAAGATTAAAATACAGGGCAGCATTGCTGCAAATGCAATAAAAAGGTTATGATACAGGGCAAGTGTTCATTAAGACAATACCGGTATACTTGAGCGGCATTAACTTTGGGCCAATATTTTAATAAGTGTGCCAATATCTTTCTTAAGGCACACTTTTGCTGTAAAAACCTATAATTTATGTCATCTAGATCTGTTTTTCTTCTTTTTAGAGATAGGTCTAATAGAACTAAAATAATTGAATAGATATCAAACTGTACATTATCTGCAACGAAAATAAATGGCGTAATCAATAAACAGACTCAGGCTGTGAAAGGTTATATATTTCACAATACAATCGACACTCCAGTACTTTCAGTGCTTTGATTAATATATCTGCTATTACATTCTATCATGTCACAATATTTTAACACCAGTTTAATACTAAGTGCTACGTTTCAACAAAATGTATAAATCTATACTTGCATTTGTGACCTGAAATTACTGTAGTGATTTGTAATTAAGTCATACTCGAGCATTTTCATTTTTCTAACACGAGTGCTTGGCATGAACATATTGGTAAAAAATACTTGACTTTCATTGAAGAACCGCGGTTCAATCAAACTGGTTCGTGATGAATGGTTAATTAAGGCAATGTGTAGAAATAGAACTACTCCACGACGCTAATGCTCAATCATTACTTGTTTTATAAAGCTAAATAGGAGCCCTCTGTAAACTCCCTATCAAGGCTTTTGATAGACAATGCTATCAAAGTACAAGAAGGTAAAGATATCATTCGTTTTCACATCTGTTTTAAGCACCAAATAGCAACGATATTGATAAACAGAAACCAGACTACACCGTATACGAAGAAAAAGGGCTAAAAATAAGTCCGAAATTTGACCGTTTTGTGTAATTATGCTATAACAAACGTGCATTGATACGAATTGCCCTTAACTTATCTACAATACAATAGTAAACAACAGTTAATCATACAGATATCTTAAGCAAAAATACAAACGGTTAAGATTTATTATCATCTCGTTTTATCCTACACATAGCTTAAATAAACGAGCGATGAAGCTCCTGAGACATATCTGTCTCGGTACAAAATGACCAGTATTCACAATTACGCCGAATTACCCAGTCCCAAAAGATCTCTGTCGCATGTGAAAATGTCGCATGTGAGCTCACTGACAGTTCGTGATGGCGACAATAAAGTAAACCAGCCGTATTCATACGGAAATATAATCTGGTAAAACTAAATATTGCATTAATGGCAGCAAGATGTGACGTTGCTACTTCAGAATGCTATGTACTTGTACAAAATATACATAATCATCATACTGCGTTTTTAAACACCGGCGTATCAAACGTTACAAGTATATTTT